TTTCGGACTAATGGAGTCAAATTTAAGGGGATTCTTTCCGACGAAAGCCAAATCGGGTAGATCTTTGGGGGCGGGGGGAGCATATATATATATATCTCTCTCTCTCTCTCTCTGTGTGTGTGCGCGGCATGTATACTTTGACTTACATGCGTCTTGCACGATACCTTTGGAGAGATAACCCATGCATTCAAAGCATGTGGTGAGTCGCAGCCTGCTGGAACATGCTCGAACCACTAGGGGTTTTGGTTTAGGGCTTTAGGGGTTTTGGTTTAGGGCTTTAGGGGTTTTGGTTTAGGGCTTTGGGGTTCAGGTTTAGGGTTTTGGGGTTTAGGGTTTAGGGTTTAGGTTTAGGGTTTTGGGGGTTGAGGGTTTAGGATTGGGGTTTAGGGGTTTAGGGGTTTAGGGGTTTAGGGTTTAGGGTCATAGGCTCTACAAGACCTCGGGACCACCAGGTGACAACAGGGATGTCGCGTTTTGATTCTCACATACTCTTAAGCCAGCCAAGGGGCATGAAGAGATCGTAGAGATCAACCAGCCCCTTCGACGAAAGCTGGTCAGCGATAATCTTATGATTGATGAGAACCTTGGCACAGAGGATCCCAGGAACAGCGCCGTTTGCTCAGGGAATGCGTCGGATGGGTAAGCAATACGGTTTTCACACACCCCCGCAGGAACAATTTCGGAGCTTTCCTTTTAACTCCTCCACCCCTCTCTCGCTTCTATCTTCTTTGATGACACGATGAAAATCCAAACCCCCTGGCCTCTCGAACGCCTGGGATCGAACTGACTGCTTACTTCGCCAAGCACCTGCGTGTTCCCAGCATTGATCCAGTTTCCTCTGATCTTGGACATGTCTTCCTCGGCAGGTCTTGAGAAAGACCTTTAGAGACCTACCTACCCATATACATATCTACAAGAGAGTATTTTCTTGCAAACACTTGAAGCACCTTTAGCATCGCCCCGTTTGGAAGTTGATTTGCGCCCCTGCGGAAATAGGAGTCAACTCTCACGGCCTCCGAAACGAAGGACTAGCTTCCTTTAAGGGCTCCTTTACGGGCTGCCCAAGCTCCAAACCCTATTCCCGAAACTCAGCCGAAACCCCAGCTCCGAAACGCAACATCCCATACTTCTCGGCAACCACATCGATGTCTCCGTGGCTCGAAGTTGCCGTCGCCAAAGAAGATCTCGGGATCCGGCTTGTCCTGAATCGTTTCCGGCGTGGGCTACTATCAGGGTTTCTACACACGAGACGGGTTACTGTAAGGGTTCCATGTGAAGGTTTTGTTTTTGTTGCAGAAGGGTTTTGGCTCAAGCTTTGGGCTTGGTGTGTTCTTGTTGTTTGGTTAGGGAGTCGCTCTAGATGTATGCCGTTGGTACCGTGAGCCCGGTAAACTCAGTGCTATGATTGTTTGGTGGCTTTTGAATTTCAGGGGCTTCCCTCTTGAAACTGATCGTGCTGGCTGCCAGAACACGACCCTAAGACTTGCTGCCAAAGATCCAGAAAAGGAGTTCCTTTGGCTTCCCTAAGCTCTAACTCGAAGCCCAAAACAAAAGATGGCCTGAGCAAGATGTGTGGAGCTTTGCTGAGAACCCGGGAGCTTCTCTGAAACCTTCAATCTAATCTGGGAGAGGCCTTATTTTTTGTTGGTGGAAGAGGGGCTGTGTGGAGCAAACTCTACAGTACAGTTCTATGGAGGAACCCTGAGGGAATGCTCTTCGGAAATCCCAAGCCCTTGCATGAAATGCTGGGTGATTCGGTGGCTCTTGTGGAGCTTCTCGGCCCTAGCAGCCCCCCCTCTGGAAACCACAACCTCTCCCCCAAAGCCGTGCACACAATCCCATAACACACCCTAACCCCCCAGGTACCTACTGTATGCGGCCCGATGGGCTCTAGTGCCTTATATAGTAGGTACCTGGGGGGTTTATGGACATGACACACCTTTCCCAATCGCATACCACAACTTCCCAGGCTATTCCTGAACGTCGGAGGTTTCAGAGTTCAGGCCGCGGATTCCCTGTTTCTGAATTCAAGCGGAAGGCCACAGACAGAAGGATCCTCAATCCCAATGTAGGGGCCTTAATAATCAGAATAGGGGTTTGGGGCATCTTATTATATAATTATAATAAGGAACCCCCAAAAATAGTACAGGTCCATATTAAACACACAAAAAAAGGCGCTGCAAGACTTTAGGGCCCCGAGCGTGAGCCGAGGCTGACTTTTGATACAGAGCGGGAGGTAGTAGGTTACGAGTTACGAGTCTTTCAGGCCCCTAAAGGAGGAGGAGGAGCAGACCTAAGAGGGGTGAGTTTCAGCTTTCGGACTTGGAGACTTTGGGTTACTTGGAGCTTCAGAGCCATTTTTCGACAGAGTCCTAGCTGTCCTAGCTGCACCAGAGACCTCCCTAAGGAACTAACATTTGCTCATAATCACTGCCGAGGGACTGGTTCTACAAGTCGGATGCTGAATCGTCATGTCAAACCGGACGTGGAATATTAAACTCAGCAAAATACACGAAAACCCTAAGGGTCCAGGTACCCAAATGTATATACTTTGGCCTTAAAGTAGTCCCTATTTGGGTAATTACTTTGGGGTTTCTAATAGGGAAAGCAGCACTCAGCAAGCTGTCTGCCGCGCGGCGTAGAGCTCTGCAGACAGCAAACGGTCCCCGAGACTGTCGCGGAGAGCCTGACATCGCTGCTGATCGTCCTCGCTCTGTGCATTATTGAGATCAGTCCTGCTTGTTTGCAACTTCGAACCCTTCCGGATTCGATCCTATATAAAGCCCTAAACCCACCGAAAACACTTTTCAAAAACTGCCACCGCGAGACGCTGAGAGCCCTAAGACAACTCCGACTTGCCATCAAAGTCACCAGCCGAACTAAGTCTGCATAGCTCAAGCCTCTAAGAACCTGTGGAAGCCATACCATGGAGGCCTTCGTGATTACACCAGGATTTGTTGAGGCATCTCATGGTAAAGTCATAAGAATGTTGATAAGTTGTCCTTTAAGCCCTTTGAAAATTATTTACTATTATGGTTCTCTACAAAATAGTAAGGGAAATTAAAAAAGATCCCAAAAGACAACCCAGGTTGATAATTACTAAGGCTTCTCCACACCTCTCCAAGCCTTCACCAACGAAGAAGTCGGAAATGAAACACAGCTACCAAGGAACTCCGCAACCTGAAGGTTCTGAAGCCGACCCCCGGAATCCTGCGCTCTCTCACAGGCTAGTATAGCGTTGAGGGCTTTCGTGTTTAGGGCTTTCGGTTCGAGGGTTTAGGTTCTAGGATTCTGGATATTCGAGTTGTAGGGTCTAATTACACTCTCACAACTCGGACAAGCCAGGCGAGGATCCTTGTTCGTTTGTAGGGTCTAATTAGGGTTTGGGATTTAGGGTTTAGGGTTCTAAGGTCTATGACTTACAAGGTTTAGCGAGGGCAGGGTATCGGGCTTCAAGCAAGCACTCCTCGAGCGCGCGCTGTGCCACGACCAACAGGTCTGCACCCATTGGCTCCTCAGTCAGTCTGCACAAACTAGACTCAAAGATCCCTTAAAGCTCACATGCCGTCCAACCCACAGGTTTACGACCCCCAACCGCTAAACCCTGAACTCTAAACTGAGACATTCAAGGAATACTTGCATGCTGCAAGGGGATCCTCAGTTTTCAGCTCGGACGGAACTTCGGGCACTGGGGAAGCCGTGACTCTTCGAACAGTCTTCAGGATTAAGGCACTTTGGGAATGCAGGAAGCACCCTGAACAGAAAGCAACATCTTCGTTGATTTGGCTGTAGGCCGGGAGAAGTGAAGAGATGTGGCCATGGTTTCTGGTAAAAAATCTGTAAAATAGGCACCTTAATTAGACTAGGATCTTCGTGTCTTTTGCTACAGTACTATAGTCATGATGATAAGTACGGAGCCTAAAATAGTATTGGTAAGTATTCAGGCACCGTGTAGCCAAGGAAGTTTGGGCCCTCTGGAGCAAACTTTCAAGCACTGCAGACTGATCTGGGAGCAAACCAGGATTTCAGTCGTGACCCCTTCACCCGGACCCTAAAGAACCTACCTTTCGAAGGACTTAAACAAGGAAGTAATTAAACAAAAAACCTAAGAAGGTAGGTTTTACAGGGTCTGGTAAAACAAAACCATCGACCCAAAGCTGTTGTGTTGTCCGGTGCGCTTCTGCTAAAGTCTTTTAGCTCCTATGAGCATTTGTGAAGTAGTTCTTGCCCAGTTTCAGCCTCAAAAATACCATAGCTTGGCTTTCAGGTTCGGGGCTATCGGAGTACGCTTTTCTTTTCTGGCTTCAAGGTTCGGGTGCACTAGGGACAAGGTACAGCACAAGACTTAGAATCCAGGACGCCCGTGACTGCACACTCCTCCCTGCCGATCTTTGCCGGAGTAAGACTGCTCTGGCTCTCACTCGTCATCCCGGAAAAATTATGAAGCCTAGCAACTTTTTGCATCCAGGACCCTTGCAAGCAGCCGGGAAACTCCACAAGACGAAGCCTAGCAACTAAACCCCCAAACCCGAATCCTGAAAACGGCTAAACTTCAAAGCCAGTCGGCGAGCACTTGGCCAAGGAGATTCTCCAAGGTCACCAGGATGCCGCGCAGCTCTCCCCATATGCAGCCTCCAGCTTTTAGGGTTTAGGGTTTAGAGGGACACAACCTTCGCCGACTTATGACGAAGACATACTTGTGTATGAACTTCTTCATCTATCTGCGAGAATCACGCAAGCAACTATGAATATACACACCCCAGCACGATATCTGCAGCCTCTGCATACTGTGTGGCACTGAGAAACACGCTCTTGAACTGCATCCTGCCTATATATATATATATAGAAACAAGTACATATGTATATACACATATAATACACACATGCAGGATCTTACCTCCGCATGTAGGTCGTGTAGGATCCTCAGGGCAGTTCTCTAAACTACTGCCTGCTGAAGGGTCCTTGCTAGGGTGGGTTAGTGCTTTACGGCTTCGACTCGCACTCTCGCCCTCGGCAGGCACGGCTTCATGAGAGTTTCGGGTTCCGGGTCGACCCTCAAGGGTCGCCTTGATAGCTCATTATAGGGGGCCTTAATAATTAGAATAGGGCTTTGGGGTCCATTATACTGCAAGTATAATCTGGAACCCCCAAAATAGTATTGGTAATTATTTGGGCCCCTACATTACGCATTTGGTCTTGGGGGCGGAGGCAGCAATCGCATCAACCTGCTGCGGGAAAGCGCTGGTGTATGTAGCAGTTAGGAAAAAGAGCAAGCTGAATCACCGCACAACTATTCCAAGGTATTTTCCGGTATAAATCTAGTAGGATGTACCAACTGAATACAAGCTTGTCAAGGCCCGTCTTGATAGCGGTCATGATCTCCTACAAACCGGAATATCCTGGTGCTTGGGACGTCGAAAATGTAGCCTGCCAAATTCAATGTGCAAATGTTCGTTTCGAGAATTTTCTTGCGACAACTGTCTCCAAAAAGCATGGATGCAGGTACGGCATTAACGTCCTAGCTGGTGCATGGCTTCCGTTCCATAAGAAGGTTTGGGAGTCTTTTACACATCTGTTGCAGAGGGGTCGGGCTCAGAGGGTTTCGAGGCTGTGCTATGAGCTTGAGGGCCTAGCTGGGGACCGGAACTCAATTGTTCGTTCAAGCTTGCGCGGTCCATCTAGGCGGAAAGATTCAATCCAATTCAAGGCACCTGACCTGCTTACGCTACCCTGAATCACTGAACGTCACAGGCGTTGAAACCCTATAAGCCCTAAGTCGAAAATGCTAGGCCACTCTAGTCTACATCTTGCCGTCCAATCCTACAGCTGACCCTCTACAGATTGGTCCTGAGATGAGTCCGGTTAGAAGCCTTGGTAATTGGAGTACGGCTTTGGGGTATGTTATCGCGTGACCAAAACAAGGAATAGAGAGGGACACTACACGAATCAGTGATTCCGACCTCTGTGTCAGACTAGGTGTTGTTGGCGGTCTTCTGCCGGACGATTGCTACCAGGTGTTGTCAGAAGTTCCCCCGCAATGCACAACAAATGTTGCGGTGAGGGGCAGAGCGCCCGCGGGCGACTGGAGCTTTCCTCCAGTAACCGAGTTGTGTTTGGGGGGCTCCTGCCTGCCTTTTCTTACATTTCTGGCTTCGGGTCAAGAGGTTTTGGGCTTACAGTTTAGAGGATATCACGCCGAGGGTTTGGGGCTTAGGGCGTGGAAGGGCTTCACAATTGGAGTCACGGGGCTGAAGCTTGCGGATTGGGCCCCAGCCTTTATAAAGGAAAACCTGAAACGCAAACGTAGCAATCATCGCCGTTATGTGGTGCCGTGCCGGAGTCCCCGCCAGAATCTAACAAATCTGACTTGCAGAAGGAATTCCCAAACAGCCAAGCCAGAAAGCCGAGCCAAAACCACCAGCACAAAAGCAATGTTGAAATCAAGCAGCCCAGAAACTGCGACCGTACCACCAACACAATGTTGTTTACTAGCCACAATTAAACGACTACCAGTGAAAACTACCATACCAGTGAAAACAATCAAAAAACAACCAACATACACAAACAATAAGAACTAATAGCCATATTAAACAAAGCAACCAAAATAAACTGCGAACTCGAATGTGTGGAACCTTAATAATTAGAATAGGTTTGGGGGCATATCATACCATAAAAACTAAGAAGGAACCGCGCACCATAGTATTGGTAATTCTTTAGGCCCCTATATTAAACCCAAATCACGACCAACAACAATACCCAGACCCAAGTCAAGCCCTAAACCCTAAACCCTAAGCCCTAAACCCTAAACCTTAAGCCCTAAACCCTAAACCCTAAGCCCTAAACCCTAAGCCCTTAACCCTAAGCCCTTAACCCTAAGCCCTAAACCCTAAACCCTAAACTGCCCGAGGAAGTACAAGGATGAGACTCTGAAGTCTGAAACATTCGTGGTTCGAGCTCTTCTTCTCGTGGCACAGGGGCCTTAATC